TTATTTTAAAATTTAGATTTTTTTTTTTATTCAATTCTTATAGAAGTCGCTCATTCCGCTATTATTATATTTTTGATGTTATGACAGAATTTACCTTGTAGCCCCATAAATCCCAAATATTAAAGAAAATTATACTGTTTCTGTTCTTTTCGTAAGTTTTACAAATCAATTTTATTAATTTTGAGGGCAGAGTGAGTAAGATAGTTTCTTCAGTATTGCAAATTTTTGATACTACAACGGTTATAAAGAGGCCATTCCAATATGGATCTCATTTTTGATTTTTCTCCATGACCGACCAGATAATTCAATTGAAAGTAAAATTTCCAAACAAGAGTTAAAATTATTAAAGATTGGATTTCAGATAATTTGCGAGTAAAAAATCTCTAACATTATGTCTAGGAAGAAATACTAGCAGTACCCACAAAGCCATATACAAATACCTTTCCTATCATTATTAATTTTTAAATTTATATTGACTTTTAAATTCAACGAGTAAGAATTGTCATATTAAATCTAACTTTAACCAATAAGCACTAATCTTTTAATATAAAATTTTATTTAAAGGAAGAAGTAGTCATAGGGGTACCTATTCTTTCTTTGTCATACACATTAATACTTAATTAATAGCACATAAGGGTAAGAGGAAATTGCTTTATAGTTCACATTTTCTTCTACCTTTTTTGGGGTTAAATCATTTGAAAACCCGTCACTTCTTTGTGATTAACGGCGACTTATTTTACATAGAATCCCTACTAATAATTTGATGCTAGTGTTAAGTAAGAAATTAAGAACATCTGATTCTATTTTATAAATAAGTAATAACTCAAGGAGTTATGATATGATGCCATAACGAAAATTGTTAATTTTAATCATTCGCAAGATCTATGGATTTAGTTGTTACAAAAATTGTAAAAGACAATTTAAAATATTTGCGATTTTCAATCAATAAAGGATATTAGATAAATATATATAATAATGCCACCTAAAAAATGAATATTTAATATTTAAACTTAAATATTCTTAATTGCTAAGTAGATCTAGATGACATTTTTCCGGAAGTTTTTAAAAATATGTATTTTTGGCAAGTATTTGCAGAAAACCATGTTTGACCGTTATGTGTAAATAATTTCAACCTATTTGCATAAATGAGAATCTCTATTACTAGCGGTTTATTTCTATTGTAAAATTCACGCTGTTGCCATTTTTTGCAGATACAAACGTAATTGTTAAATACAATTACAAAACCTCGATTTATAAAATATCTCTCGAGACTAGACGCGTAGAAGGAAAACCGACGTTCGCCTGTTTTGCGCCTTTCCGACACCGACTCGCACGTTCTGCTTTAATTGGTCAACCGGCGAGTAGGCTTTGGAACGATCGCGTGAGCATAGATGTGTTGCGATTATCTTCGCGACATGCAGAGAACAGAGGACAGGTGGGCGTGCGACAACTGTGCCGGCTTTGCCACCCAGGATGAGTTGTTTGCACGCGATTTTCGTCTACTTCGCGACCGACGCGGTAAACAAAAACACTCGCTATTTAAAACAAAGATTTTTTTATTAATAAAGCGGTAATATTTGTATAAAAAATATAACAATAGGCACGCGCGTTTTACTGGCCGATACATTTCGAAATGCAGGGCGGCCGGTTTTCCTGCGTTTTCCATTTGCCCGAAGAAGAAAATTTTTTTGTGGCTTTTTATGAGCTAATTTAAAAGAATACTACATATATTACATCATGGATCGGCTGAATTGCACACATTTAAAATGAAACTCAACTTTCTATAAAAGAAGACGAAACTGATGTGGATGGCCTAACTAACCACCGTTTGGAAGTTTGTAAATGTTCTTTGCAATGGAAAATTTTGTATTTCCACGATAACATTTCCAGAGTTCCTTGTAAAGTACAATTTAAACATATAAATAATAAATTAAAACTAGTACTTTAATGAGTGTCGACAGAAAAATCGATTCTTTATGTAAGACAAGTTTCGAATGAAACGAGAGAAACTTGAAATTACTTTTGCAAAACTATAGCAGCCTTGAACAGTTAAGAACTTGGATCAAGTAGACTTTGGAAGTAATGTAGAAAACAAATGCACACAGTAGTTTTGAGCTTTTTGTAAGTCTTGTCCCGTGAGTTCTTTTCAGTCCGGTTTTTATCCTTAACTTTTCGTTTATTGTGATATATAATATTTGTTCTTTTTTTCTCACAGTGACCCCTGTTAATTGGGATGTGTCGCAACTTCCAAAATGCCTTTTAGAGGTTGTTTTCCCTCAGTATATAAGTTGCAGTACAAATTGTCTCCCTATGATTTTATAAATATCGATTTTTTAATTTGAATTTTGAAATTGTGCCAACAATTGCAGAGCGATTTTTTTTTAAATGCATCTATTAAAAAAAAAACATAACTCTGGAAAGGTAACGTTTATACTCACATGGTTTAATTAAGCTGTAGACAAAATAGAAAATACCTCAAAAATATCAAGAATATTTCTAATTCGTCCATTTTTCTGCCAAAAGGGCTTTCTTCATATAATATGTAAAAAACATTGAAAACGGTAATACGAAATAATGGAAACACAGGAGAAACGGACAGCCTGTACATAATACATATATGTCGATCGGATATATCTTTACAAAAATACAATATAATATAGATGTAGAATATATATAATATGAGAATAATTTAAAATTATTTACAAATTTTCATCTCCTTCTCCCTACTGGTTTATTATTTATACGCCCCGCGCATATCTCGCTGACCGAAAGCTTGGGGAACGATTCAAATGCCGATGTTTCGCCTTTCCGAGCAACTGACCCAAACCAAAACGCATTTTTTTTTTGCAAAAGCGAAATCCGACATCAAACAATTTCCAAGCAGAAAAAATACTATATTGGTCCCGAAGAGGTGGTGCTTTTTTAAGTAACTCTTATACAGAACTAATCTAAAGTTATTAATAGTAAACTGCATTTATTTTAAGTGCCCGTAAGGGTCCAAATGCAGCGGCTACAACATATATTGTCTAAATACTGGCAACGTTGTATACATATACACTATATAATAATTCCTTATAATTTTTTTTTACAAAGTACGCAATATATAATATATTATTAATAAATGGTACCTACTACCATATTCGTACGGATTGAAGGGTAAGCCGCAGTGGAATTATGGTGTGCAGTATCGATTTCAGAGGGATTATATGAATACTCTTTCTTCCGCGGTTTACCCTTGGCACGATTTGAGGATACTGGCGAAAATCAAAAACCGAAAGTGGCGCGGTACTACTGTTTGCCTATTCGAATCAATGACTAGACTCTACCTATGATGATGCAATCAGCTAGTAGGTAGTACTTATCAACAATACAATAGTATCAACATTCAGGACGGTATAAGATCACATTTTGATTCCGTGTACGTTGGCTTAGGTGCTCGTTTCCCAAATTTTTAACAACTTACAACGCATAAATAGTGTAACAGGAACGGGAAATAAACAATTCAACAAAATTATAAGTTTACAAACGATAGAAATAATATCAATTTGGAGTGCAAAATTTTTTCCTTCATTTTTTAGTACAGAACAATTCAAACATGTACAAAAGAATTCCTGATATGAGATTTTGGTTTGCTCAGTCACAATAAAGATAAGCTTTCTGGCGACTCAAAATGTATATGTGCTGTGATGCTATTAGAAATTCCTTATTATAGACAACTCCATCACAGTATTGTTCATTTTTAGCAGTCGTTTTGTAACAACTTTTTACTACCGAACAAAATTGTTCAGTGCTAATGTCATATCATAAAGTCCTTAGTACAAAGGCACCTTGGAGTATAAGCTAACAATTTCTTCACATCAGTGCCCCACAAAAACTTTCTACATTTTAATAACCTACGTAGCTTTTTATTTATTTAAGAATTCACCGGAGAAGATAATGAAAAACTAAACTATACACCACTCTTCCACAAAAAGCTAATTTCCACCGAAATATCTGACTTTCCTCTCAACGAATTGATAAAATTGGTCGTAATTATATAAAAACGTACTTACTTCGAAAATATTGTCACTGACATCGCTGATTGGAATAAATTGTTATAAATAAGTTCATTTATAGCAAAATCATTCTTCCATGTCGCGAGCGTAAACCTTCCGAAAAAAATAAAATGAATTCTGTGCAAGCGTAAGAGGGAAACAAAGCAGCTCAGAGGAGTGGTAAGAGTAGCTCATTAGTAAATTGGTTTTTGTTTAGTTTTGGTATTATGTAAAATTTCAATTTATCTCAGAAGCATCAGATTCAAGATTTAACTAGTAGTGAATTCGGAAGAGAGAAATTAAGTAAGATCAAGAGATCACAGAAATAACTGCATGGCATTGAAAAATTCAAAAATCGAAAAAGTCCAAGACCAGACGGAATAGGTAACGAAATGCTTAAGTATGGCGGAGACCGGTTTTAAGTAATATGAAACCACTCTTTAATAAGATAATCTAAGAACAGCGAGTCCTAAAGATTGGAAGGAGAGTAATTCCGCAAGTCAGAAAAGGGGCAGGCTACATCACAGCAAAAACCTATAATATGGAAATCTCAGCTAACAAAATTATATGTACACTGAAGCTGGATGATCATTACTGACTGTAACAATTAAAAAAAAAAAGTAAAAAACGAAAAGAATATCTGCCTGCTTGAAGCAAACGATATAGCAAAATGACACACGCCATTGAAACACGAGACGATAGACGAAGCCACAACGCAGAAAATAAGAACGATAGAAATGAAAGTATTAGGATCCATCTTGGGAATTACGTTTAGAGACGGAGAAACTGCCGAGGGCATAAAAGAGAGATATGACGTTCAAGATGTCATAAAATAAACAGCTTCAGGTTAGCAAAGACATACAAGAATGCAAGACTCAGAGGAAGAGGACCATAGAGATGACCACCGAACAGCTGCTTTCTGTCATCACCTCAACAGTGTGAAGCTAGATAAACAGGAAAACAAGAAAAACAATCATCAGATTGTTTTTCTTTAAAGTTCCAACCCGCTTCTATAATTTTTATATAATTGCAGAACACGTGAGTTGTACTGAAAGTATGCTTCTGTTCAATCCTCTTGTAACTGGGAAGTTGATGACAATTAGATATTAGACAAACAGGAAAACTTTCCTAGTCAATAGTAGCAGAAGGAGAAGTAGATGCATCAGAATCCTAATCTTTAAAGTTCAAGTATACTTAAGTTGCATCGAAAGTCTGTTTCTGTTCAATCCACTTATAACTGGAAGGTTGATGGCAATTTAAACATTCCCATAAAACTGCAAAAATAATTTTTGTTGAAGGTAAATTTACCAATCTGGCAAAACTTTCTTCTTCACTTCATTTTATTAGATGATTTTAAAACAAGATAGATTAATTAATATTAATTGTTTTGTTCAAATTCGTACCAAAATACTGAAATTCCAGAAATTGTCTTGCGAAAGCTAAACATCCTGAATTAGTTCAGTGACGAATATGCACATTCGCATAGGTTGAAACTTCAAACTGATTCCAACGAAAGCGAGTAAAATTGATTCAAGCTTTCTTTGTTTATTTCACCGAAACTCGAACACCTGAAGCAATTCAGAAACCAGACGACCAGTAAAAATTCGAATATCGTTGAAACGTAAAAAGTTTTCGTGGCGCTTGCGTCCAATTTCTTAAACCGAACCCCCTCCCACCCCAAACATTTCTGTCGCACTCTAGCGATCTAAAGTCAAATCCAAAGGCACCGACTTAACGACGTCGTCGCCTTCGACGTCGATGTTCCCGTCCTCGCTGTCCTCGTTACCCGCGTCCTCGATCATGGTCGCCTGCTTCACGGACAAGTCAATAGGCTGATCTTGATCGGGTGCCTGCGCCGCCACCGTCGGCTGCCCCCTCAACCAAATCTCACGCCAAATCGCCGGATCCCCTATAGGCGGAAACGGAGGCGGGAACCACCTGTTCGTGACGGCCAACGAACTGGGCGATATCGACGGCAACGACGCAGGTGATATCGACGCCGGGTTATTTAACGATATCCGAGTTTTTCTCTTCGTAAAACACTCGGTGTCACTTACGCGATCACTCAGAGGCGACGCCGACGGCCTCAAGTAACTCAACGCGCTTGTCGAACGCATCTCGTCGTCGGGATCGGCCGAAGACGCGCCCGAATCCGATTCGCTAGCCGAAGTTTCCCGAACGCCTACGGATGTGGACGCCGGGTGGTGGTGGTGATGGTGGTGGTTCCTGCTGAACAACGGCGATAGATACGGGTTCGGTCTGAACAATCCTGCCGCGGCCGCCAGGTTTATGTCGACCTGCTGTTGGTTCTGCTGTTGGACCTGCTGCTGCTGTTGCTGCTGCAGCAGGCAGTGGATTTTGAACCAGTTGGACCGACGACCGTACCTGGAGCCGCTTTTCGACATGCCGACCATCATGCACTTGCGCAGGCGACACGCCTTGCACGCGGTGCGGTTCTTCTTGTTGATGACGCATTTCCCGTTGTTTTTGCACTCGGATATCGAGCTGATGTTGTTGTAGGTGCGGCCGAAGAATGACTGGAAGAGAGGAGAGGATTTTTTAGACAGTGTCTTTGGTATTTCGGAATGTAAGTCACCGCCAAAGTCACCATGAGTACTGATAGGACCACGTTAACCTCTGAATGCTTAAGTTACCAATTGTAGTAGTATTTTCTAGTAGACGAAATTATATTCCGAATATGTTAGTGCAGCGTAAACTGTTTCAGATTACATATTCCCCTGCAAGCTAAACTGTAAAAAAGCTAACCAAGTTAAACTGTGAGAACTATCTGGGTTGCTGAAGAGCCCTAAATAAACTTTGCATCGAAATTAACGCACTACCAAAATTAGGGTCAACTTTAAAGTTCATTTTTTCGCCAACTGCTGACTCTATTTGGATATATACAGACTGGTCTAAATTAAGTGTGGTAATTTTCTTATGAGTAAACATACGAAGTCGGTAAAATTAGCAAACTAGTAGAATTTTTTCCGCTGATTACGATGGTTAAAACAGAAAAACAATTGAATGCAGGGTTTAGGAAATAATGAGGAAAAGGTACTCTTTTTAAATGGAACACTCTGTAGACTTTTTACTCTAAGTTTGTAAATCACCAACAGAGCAAAAAAGGTCATATGCGAAATAAGAAAACAGAAAAAGAGCTTAACAAAAACTAATTAATTTATGATTGACTATTAAAGCTATTTTAAGAGGTGTTAAGAGTAATTCGTAGTTCAATACATTTTTGAGCACGTTTTTATATTGAGCAAATGATCTTTCTACGACGTTTTGGTTTCTTTTTTTTGCAGGCTTTAAAACGCCATCATGTTGGTATCTTTCCTTATAAATTTTTAACTTTAAATTACCCCACAAGTAGAAATCAAGTGGGGTTAGATCTGGTGATCGAGGAGGTCAAGGAATAGGTCCATTTGTAGCAACCCCTTGATTATTTTTAAATTAAATTACAAAGTTATGTGGTTATGTAGGATGTGGACATGTACATAGTGTTTAATAAAACAATACTACAAAACTATTTAAATGAGGTAAATATTGAACATTTATGGGAGCAAATGGGTAGGTGGCTTAGCGATCATCGACCTCCACCTGCTTCTTTAGATGATGCAGAAAACGTTATCAGGCAAATATGAACTAATATCGATCAAGCACAAATTAAATGTCTGGTTCAAAGCATAAATTGTCGATGTCGATCGGTCAGGGAGGAAACTTCGGATATTGGCTTTTTATTTGTTTAATGTTCATTTTGTTTCAGTTTTTTTGACATTTGGCATTAAATACACAATTTCATTTAATAAGTGAGATGAAGATGTAAATAAAACATTAATAAAATTAAGCTACAATTAAAAAAATTAATACATTTCCAAATGGTGTCAGCAGCAAAAACTACTTATTCGATTTTTAGGATAGGATAGAAATAAAAATAATAAAAAATACTTTCATCGTTCCATAAGAAAAACATCAACTTTGTGCTATACCTCAAAAGGAAAAAATGGTAGAATAAATTCAGCTAGACAAACGCAGGTCATACATTCTCAGTCGCCTCTAGAAATCCCCCGAACCCTCCCACACCTCAGAATTTTGCACACCCTGTACCAATTGAAAAAGAACGGCGAGGGGCGATGGTAGTCGTAGAAGTGATAGAATTCGTATACCTGGAGGCTCGGTTGAGTAACGTCCGTACGCTTTTACAAACGCAAGATTCACGCGAGCAACGAATGCCCAATTAGCGTTACGTAAAAACAATGGCGGCCGTTGTTGTGCGTCAAACGATCCACCTGTCACGATCAAAATGCAATAAAATATAAAAGTCGCCGAGCCCGGGCAAGCGGAGAGATCTATTCAATCTGGGTTAGAAAGTCGGAGGCGAAATAATAAAATTCGTTTGGCTGCAATAACGTGACTTATGTGATGACACCCATACGACGCATGCATTTTATCTCAGGAGGTTAACGGCTACAGGACCGCATTTAAACTTGTCCGGCAGAACGATCATGTGGTCAATTTTAGACCACCCGTGCTCCTTTACTCTTTGACGAGCTCTAGAAACAAGCCCTAATTTACGTTTGTGTACGTTTGTGATCTGTGATCAACTAAAAATTCTACGCAATGCCTGTTATCTACAAAACTCTGAACCCAAATCTTTAGAAGAACCAAAGTTCCCGAAACTTTAAATATTAAATATGGCGACCACTAAACAGAAAGGTTTTCAAGGAACGAACGTTTATATAAAAAAGTAATCACAAGTGTTTGTTTGTGCACGTAAGAGCAAACAAAAAATAATACCCCTTTGTTTAGGATTTGCTTTCCTAAAAGCAATTGCTTATGACAGCTTGTTTATGCTTATGCTTAAGAGAGCCGAGCTTAAACACTTTTTTTAAGAACACAAGTTTTTATGCCACTTTTTATTTTGTTTTATGTTTAGGAGAGAAAATCATCAACACTTGTGTATCGAACAGTTTCTTGAGGACAGTTTGAAATTTTGTGTTTGCGAGTCAGCACAAGAACCAGGGCTTATGTCTAGGCTTTGCTCACGTATATTTAGGAGAACGTAACTTACACGTATGTATTTAGAAGGACACTCTTTAGAATCAGATTTGTTGGTACAAAGGAATTATGTTTATAAATAGCTTTAGAACACTAGTATCTAGCATTTGTTCTGCTAAATATTTGAATTTTAGCTGTAATTTCCTGAACACAAGTGTCCAAAATATGTACATAAGATAATATAACCAGGAGAGTTTATGTTTAGGGTTACCAATCAACGATTGTTTAAACACTTTAGGAGAGCAAACCCTAGACGATCACAGTTTCAAATAACGATAAAAATAGGCGATAGGCGAATGTCAGCCGCCGTAAACGGACAAATTAAAAGATTCCGTTCCTGCACGCGGCGAATGCAAATTTATTTTATTGCACAAAGAGATCCACCATTGAAAATATTATAACCACAACGTCATATAAAGAATCCGCTAATGATGTTCGAGATCTTATCTGCGGCCATGTTGTGCGATTATCTATGCCTCGCGTATGTGTTTCGATGAAAGAACCACTTTTTATTGCTTGTTACAATCATTGAATACACAATTTAATAATAAAGTTGCTTACTTTTCGCTGCGTCGCAATCGGCTCGCGGGCCGCACGTAAAACGAATTGACAAACGACAAGCTAAAAATGTTTTTACCTGTTAATAACCGCCCGCGGTTATAGGAACAACAATGGTCTATATTTTACGCGATCATTGGCAGCGTTATTATAAACAAATTACCATCCCACAATCGGACCATTGTTAATGGGACGTATTTACGATGCTTTATTCGTGCATTTTTCGGTTCGGATCGTTTCTCGGAGTGCTGCGCAGAACACGGTTTCCTGGTCAGAACGATTAGCTGCATATAGATACGGGAACAGATTCATTTAGTAAATTAGAAACTTAATCTCGAGTAGTGATCAAATTCCTAAAAAAAACATAAAGAGTGTTTTGATGGCTAGTGGTGAATTGTGTTCCATACGGAATTGTAGAGGATTTAGAATAGGATGAACATGGTTCAGCCACCCTTCGAGTTGTATTCAAGGCACTTGATTGTAAATCACCAATACGTTTGTGAAATTTAATTTGTTTCAGAAACCTGCTGGTAGATCTAAAATTACAATTTAATCTAGTGCATGAAACAAATGCCATAGAAAAACAACAAAGGTTTGTTTGGGTCGTTCGTAAGGAGTTGTGCTTCAGACGAGGCGGCTTCACATCAAAGCAGTGCTAGAAGTGGCGAAGACGGTTGTAGAGGATTTGGAGAAGGGTGCAGTCACATTTTTCGCTGTATTCAAGGCATTTGAATGTGTATTACGGCAAACTGCAAGCTAAAACACGTTTGTGATGTGCATAGTTAAAGAAACAAAAATGTCAAGCAACTTATTTCCAGAAAGTGCTGATAGTTCTAAAATTACAATATTTAGATAGTCGAAACAAATACTGAGAGATATTTAACCTCGTCTGTTATCTTGCTGAACAAACCCTGAAATTTTTTGAAGAGCAACACAAAAAAAAACAAAAAAAAATGGTTTAGATCGCTAGTAGAGACATGTGTTTCAGACGGGACAGCTAGCAGAGAGCACTATTAGAGGTGGTGCAGATCATATCAGACGATTTTGAGTGAGGTGAACATAGTGCAATGACATCGTGCTTTAGGTCTTTACTTGTATTTCTCAAGAAACTTCCACCTTGAGCAAGAAATCGGTGTGCCCCAAGTATCCATTTTAGGCCATTAATTTTCGTTTTTCAAGTAATGCATTGCATTCAATCTTCAAATACTTTGAAGTATGCTCAACCAAGAAAAATAGTTTATTCAAAATTACCTGACCTAAAAACACTCAATTTTGCGATATCCCTCTCTGAAGCTAGTAAAGTTTTATTAAACGTTTTATTTGACTTCATACACACAGTTGTACTTCAGACGAGGCGGCTTCACATCAAAGCAGTGCTAGAAGTGGCGAAGACCGTTGTAGAGGATTCGGAGAAGGGTGCAGTCACATTTTTCGCTGTATTCAAGGCATTTGAATGTCTATTACGGGAAACTGCAAGCTAAAACATGTCTGTGATGTGCATAGTTAAAGAAATAAAAATGTCAAGCAACTTATTTCCAGAAGGTGCTGATAGTTCTAAAATGACAATATTTAGATAGTCGAAACAAATACTGAGAGATATTCTACCTCATCTGTTATCTTGCTGAACAAACCCTGAAATCTTTTGAAGAGCAACACAAAAAAAAACAAAAAAAATGGTTTAGATCGCTAGTAGAGACATGTGTTTCAGACGGGACAGCTAGCAGAGAGCACTATTAGAGGTGGTGCAGATCATATCAGACGATTTTGAGTGAGGTGAACATAGTGCAATGACATCGTGCTTTAGGTCTTTACTTGTATTTCTCAAGAAACTTCCACCTTGAGCAAGAAATCGGTGTGCCTCAAGTATCCATTTTAGGCCATTAATTTTCGTTTTTCAAGTAATGCATTGCATTCAATCTTCAAATAATTTGAAGTATGCTCAACCAAGAGAAAT